ACTCTCCTTAAATGTGGGGAGGTAGGATCTCTTATGCTAGGTATTTCTTATTAACAAGATTTAAATTTTTATTTTTGTTTGGTTATTTTCCCAACGGTAAACAGACAATATACACTGCCTGGGCGCAGGAAAATCTACACCGGATTATAACCATGCAACCCTCCCCAATTTAATAAAAGTATTTAAATCCGTTTTCGAAATATGGCCTTGCAACACTTTCAAAAACTCACTCTGTATATTGCATGCTTTCTTTCGAATGACCTTTTCGGCGTTGTCAAGTTTTTTTTACTATTAAACCAGAATGGTACCTTCGAGGGGGGTGGTTACGTATGGGTCGCTGAAGTCGGGTGATCGGATATAACACAAACTCACTGGTCGTCGTTCATCAGCTTTTATTTGGTCGCAACACGAGATAAGTCTTAATCGGGGAGATGTAGTCGTGATCGGGAGCTGTTGTCGTAATCGTGATATTATGCAATTCTGTTGAGGAGACAAAATGTAAACAAGTTAAAAAGTAATCGTAAACGATTTACATAAAGCGCATTTCCACTTGCATTCATTTCCCATTTATAAGATGCAACTTCTGATAAAATCGTAAAAATCCGGCCACAAATATGAAAGATAGCGTTGCACATGGGCAATCCATTTTTGACGTGTTACTTCAATTTCAGTTTATGAGAAGAATTTCATTTCAATGCTTTTCTAAATAAGAAAGTTGGAACTGCGCATGCGCAAACCTAAATTTTAAAACTATTGTTAGATTTTCCTTTGTTCCAAGCGGCTAAGTATCAAATTTCACTTAAATGGTGCCATAGATAAAAAAGTTGGCACTCAAAAGAAAATTTTGAGACTGGCGCTCGATGATCCTTTATTCCAAGTGCCTATGTATCAAATTTCGTTTAAATTCTTCCATAAATAAAAAAATTGGCACTGCGCATGCGCAAAACCAAATTTTGAAATTGGCGTTTGATTTTCCTTTATCCCAAGTGCCTATGTATCAAATTTCCTGTAAATTCTTCCGCAAATAAAAAAGTTGGCACTGCGCATGCGCAAAACCAAATTTTAAAATTGGCGTTTGATTTTCCTTTATTACAAGTGCTATAACGTGAGGTTAGTTCGGCGCTGTAAAACTCAAACCCCGCCGCATAAACGGCCAGCTAGCTCAGATTCTTAATTAAAAGAAGGGCTCGAGATGAGAATCTTCCACAGCGGTTTGTTCGTTTGGGCATATAACATAACTTTTTGATCTTTGGTAGTTACTAGAAATGATTAGTTGAGCGCCACCCAATTTTGCACAAATTCTGACCTCTCCTGTTGTATAGAAATTGGGAAAACACAAGAGAGCCAAATAATAAATTCACTACGAGCAATTCTGATTTATTAATCCTGGCAAAACGGTGCAGGATCGGCAAATAAAATGTATCTTCAATACGACAATAACAAATACTTTAAATGACAAAAATAATCCCCAAATACATTCATGAACACTTCCTTACTGATTACGTTACCAGCCCCCTACAACAATGATCGAGTAAAAATGTAGTTAAGATTTCAATGGATTCAAAGTTTGAATTAAGTTAACCCGAATAACAACTCATATAGGCAACACTGGGTACAAGTAAATTAAAAATCTTACCTTGAATAACACATACGCTGTCTCCTCCGAAAAAGAGCTCTCCTTCGAAGTTCCAGTTCTGTAACACAAAAACAAACCCCAAGCTACAACGCTCGGAACGATTATATGAGCCAGAAGGGCCAAAAATAGCTTACTCGTAGCCGGCTCGTTTACCCATACGTTAAATACAGGTGCGTTGCTCTTGAAGAGAGCCACGACCTCAAACACTAGATGCGAACAAAATACAAAGCTCCGATCATAAATCGTCGGAAGGTTACACTAGATTAACGGTATTGAAGCAAATAAAAAAAAGGTTGTGTAAAAGATCGTATCTTCCGAAAATTCCACAATCAGCTGGTCGCTCCCGGTATCGTTTAGGTGTTAGCGCTGATCTACTCGGTGGTACGCCGGATAGCTGCCGGCAATCAACAGGTGTTCGTACTCCGGAATATTCGCAAGATGCAAATTCATTAACATACAAGGATTCGTCTGTACAAGGATTGACCGGTACAAGAATTCATCTACTACATGGATTGACCGGTACAAGAATTCATCTACTACATGGACCCCCTAAAAGTAATGAAGATGTAACACTCCCTTAACGAGATTTTTAATAACATACCTGAAATCGTCAGGAGGGTAATGAAAAATACTTAAATCAATGAAATAGGGAAATTATCCAACCTCAAATTGTGAGTATGTAGGTAGGGCGATGAACTTCTACCAGATATATAGCCTCGCAATGGAGAAAACGGCTTCTGAGTTACTCTACTCGACAACGCCAATAAAAAGGTAAAATTGCCAGAGATTTCACGTGAATGATGGCAAATATTACCCACTGGTTTAAGAAGAATTCACAATGCCACGCTCTACAACAAGTACAACCTCGTTGGCTTTAAAACGGAAATGAAGTGAAAAATTAACGCGATTCTGCGCGAGGAAAGAAGCACGCGTACAAGTGACGCCCTCACCTATATCCTGCCTAACCTAGCAAGCGGTAATTTTGAAATTTGAATATGAATAAACTAAACTGTTACAGTGCCTATGTATCAAATTTCATTCAAATACTTTTATAAGTAAAAAAGTTTGCAATTCGGTTTATAAATGGTCGAGATGCGGAAAGGGCACTGTGAATTCGATTCAACTTTTGGCATTGCGTATTATATGGCTAAAGCTATGCCCATATTGAATTTCATGCAATTCAGTTCATAACTAACGGAGATGTAAAAGCGATCGAACATTTCTAAACAAAGTTATCGTTCACACGGACAGATAGATGGACAGACAGACAAAGGAACAGACGGACAGACCAGCATAGCAATGCAAAATTAAAACGATCTCTAGGATCGTTAATAAACGGCAAAAGTGTAAAATTATGGAACATGTAAAAAACGGTTTTTTGTTTTTTTTACAATAACTTTTTTTGTAAGCGGTACAGAAAAAATTCCCTTCAAGACTTTAGTAGAACAAGACTCGACACCATAACGAACCACAATCGAGAACCAAATAGCGAAAAAAGTAGAACAATAGCTCTTAAGATAAAGAACTAGTAGCGTCGCAAAACTAGCGGACGGACGGACGGACGGACGGACAAAGTGGCCACAATAGTGCATTTTTTTTTTGTGGAAATGCGCTAAAAACACAATAATATGTATTTAAAAAGATTTCTGTGTTTTATTTGTAGGTAACTAATTTATGCGTTTCACTATACCATTTCGGACATAAATTTGGCTTTGTTTGTTACTGTTGTCATGTTCGAAACCGTTGTTTTGCACCCCGCCCCCGGTGAACGTTGTACCACTTAGTGGTAGGGATTTTCAGAAAGATTTTTCATCCCTTTCTGCGCTACGGTTGCTGAGGTAGAGGTTATACGAGAAACGCAAATTTCCGGAAATTTGTAGTGACATTTTGGATTCTTTGGTTAAAAAAACATATTTAAAAATAAACGTCTTCATAAGAGTAAGAGAAATGAGCTTAAAATAGCAATAGAGGTTTGTAAATTATTGCGCCTTTTGTGTTTTCGGTTGTTGTTGGTTGAGTTGGGCCACTTGCCACGTCTGAGGTCTTAACTACACCTACAGTTTTCAAGATATTTAGTTCGTTCTTTTTGCACTCGGTAGCTTATAGCTCTGACACCTTAACAAAAAAAAATCTTGACGATTAACTTTTTTATTAGTGGAGATATTTTTTTGAAATTTTAATCCGAGCTTGTTCTAGTAAAGACAAAGCATATGGCATATTGTAAAAATCAAATGTGCGCATGCGCAAACTGCGCAATGTCAAACTTCTTACGTTACACGGTTACACGACCGTTCGGAAAGTTCTGATAGATTCATGGAAAATGCGCTACAGTTACTCGCCTTACCCTTGGGACCGACTTTTTATATTTCACTTAGATTTATTTGGAAGTTTTCTGTCGGGTAAATTCAACGGGCACATTAAAGACTAAGTTCCCTACACAATCTATAAAGGTAATTGCTAAAGTATACAAGAGATATCGTTCATTTTGACAATGACGCTAACTGAAAAGTGATACCGATTACAGATGTAACATATATTTACATCTGTGATATTACGGACGAGTAAAGTCAAAGTGGTAAATGTATTCGATAATATTACATGTACCTATGACTATGGTAACAACTTTGGTAACTAACAGAGCAATTATTAAGTTTTTGTACCACTTAAAAATAAAAATAAATGAAGAATAGGTCTATTATGGGAAAGTGGAATGATCCTATACCCATTCATATGCAGTACCTATGTATGTACAGGTTCACTAAAATATCAAGAAATAAAAGAAAACTAGAAATGTAGAACAATAATCTACCGAGACTTAGGTGTAGCCATACTATAATTACAGCAAAAGAACGTTTCCGTTCGTCGTCTAAACATCCAGGTTTCACTTTTACTCTCCTAAAGCCGGCATACGATGAAACGCATTTTCATTTTTTCACACACATTCCACCATTCAGATGAACAAATTATTCTACTACCTACGGCAAAAATGTACAAGATGTAAAAGGCAACTGCGTGAAAAAGCGAAAACTCATAAATAAGCAACAGTAATGATGGAGTTGATGCGTAACTCTCTTATAAATCTGGAGCACTTCCTGTGTGTAAGCAATTATTACCCACTTACACTTATTAACGTATGCATATTTCTTTACATAGATGATGAAAATAATCAACTTAATCACAACATTTAGTGTGGTGAAAGTTTACTGAATCATTGCAGTAGTCAACCAAATTTGAATGGTATATTGACTATCGTTAACACCATTTTGTGAATCGGTTACGGTTTTAAAGAACTATCCATTTTTATGGGCAGTAATTAAATGCTTGTGATTGCTAAGTTTAGTAATATGGGTGTGTTTATTTGCAGGATGCTTGAAGGAGTCTGGCCATCTGATAACGAAGTTTCCAATGAAGCGGCAAGATGAAATTTTTGTTTATTTATGTAACGGCGGTGACTTTATTTGGAAAAACAAGTAAGTAATTTTCAAGTTTCTACATTCTTATGAATTTATACATTTGATATCAAGTTGTATCAAGTGACTATCCAAAATTTTACGTTTGCGGACTATGTCCCCCCAATTCTCAAAGGTGGGTTTCTTCTTTTCTCACTGCGCTCACAACACACACACGAGGAAGCCTGTTTGATCGTTTGGAACAAAACCCAGAGAAATACCCAGGTCGCCATGTACGAGATTCATTGTTCTACCAATATGTAAAATCCGCTATTGATGCCTGAGATCACGAAAACTGAAAGTTAGTTGTACCAAAGGATCATCGTCAAAGTGTTCTAATCGAATGTTATAATAATGTCACCTTTGGATATGTAGGGGTATACCCGACCTCTTGGCGTATGCATCAGCGGTACTACTGGCCTAAGATGATGTTTGACGTCAAACTATTTGTGTCACAATGTTCCATATTTGTGCTCAACATAATCCAGAACAACCGCGACCTGCTGGACTTATGGGTGCCCACCCTAAACTATATGAACCATGGTAGATGATTAGTCTAGATTTTGTGGCGCCTTTACCTCGATCAACTCAGGGACGTACTCACGTATTAATGGTCAGATAATAACTAAATTCGTTCTTCTTTTTCCAGTTCGAACAGCGAGTACTTAAACTCTCATTAAGTGTATCGAAGAATCTGTCTTCCTACTCCTCATTTGTGATAGTAGAGTCAAAATACACAGCCGTCTGATTTTAAACCTTTGCGAACATTACGGTGTTAAAGTGAGGTACACCTCATTATATCACCCACAAGCAGATCCAGTGAGTAAACTTTATGGTTATACAGCTTATCTCAATTTATGTCAAAGACAATCATAAGCATCAAGACAATCATTACATTGTTTGTGCCCCTAGAACTGCGAAACATGGGACCATAGGGGTCCGTTATGTCCGTGGTAAACATGAGTGACGTCACTCCATACCGGGCGAACTTTGGAAAAGAATTCCGTATGAGGGGAGACAGTTTTACCACGGACATAATAAGGGACACCCATGAAGCCACATTTCGAAGTCGAAAAATACCTAGCTGGTCTCCAACAATTGTGTGTCAAAATCGTAGCTCGCAGTCAAGCCAACTATGACCAAAACAAGCGCATTTATGACCTACGACAACCACCTGTTACTTACGAAATTGGAAAAAAGATGTGGAGGAATAAAAGCATTTCAAAGGCTATCCGAGATTTTACAGCTAAATTGGCACCATGATTTTTAGGACCTTTCACAGTGCACCGAAAAGTGGGGAACTTAAAGATGGTCAAGGGAGGTCCGCTGGTATTTGGCACGTACAAGACCTCAAACCCCACTTTGAACTCGAAGACCATGGTTAGTTCAGCTTTGGACAGACAGAAGGACAAAATCTTCACATAAAGGGAATTTTTTTCGAAAAAATCCTCTACAAAGTGATTTTTAAAATAACGCAAGTAAATGTATTAAAATATAGTTATTTTGGTTATTCAGTAACGAATAACGCAATGAGAGTCTCTTTTGCTTCTGTTTTTTGTTCCTTTGTGCATCCAGCTGTTACACAGCAATATAAATTTACTAAGACTTGTTAAGTAAAAATATTATCAATACTTCTTACGTTCTTACGTAATCATGAAAGTGGTACGTCGTATAACCAACATTAAAGTAAATGAAACCGAAACCTACTTTTTGACAGTTATGCGTATTATGCTTATCAATTTTACTGATTTTCTTAAACACTTATGAAAACATCATAAATAAGATTAAGTAAAGATCATATTTTGTGACATAAGTAAACTCCAGACCACCAACTTTCCTGGAATGTCCGGAAACTAGAGCTTTGCAATTTATTTCTTAAACGAATTTGAGATGATAATCGACTTCACAGTGAGCATGCGGACTAAAATCTCGTGACAGATAGTAATGACCCAATCAATTAAATGTGTCACGCTGTTTAGGCACGTGGCATTCAATTACAAAGGAATTTTGCACTTCCGATTTGCAATATTCGCGCAGTTACATAATTAATGTCTATTTTAGAATGTATTAAAATTTCAACTAATTTGTTACAACAAACTTTGCGTATTATCCAAATGATAAATGCTTCTTAACGGCAATTGTATAAATTTCACCTTATGAATAATAGCATTAATCATAATGGGTGTTGCGATACCTAGCAATTAATGTTAAATCGAAGATTGCGCCGATTTGTTACTCGATCATTTTGGTTGCTAATTAGTACGTTTTAACCATTATATCAACCACGCCTTGCATGTATTCTTCTGTGTTGTACTATAAAAGCAGTTGCGCTTGCCTTATGCCACTAATATTATAAGCTTCACTTCGTTCATTCAGTAGTTTACAATGATTTCTTCACATTCTTCCGCACGATGACTCCATTCATCGACACTTCGCAAGATCTGTATAATATTGAAGTGTGTAATCGGATCAGGAATATTACATAATAACATAGCTATATTCTACAGCACTTATCGTCATCTTCCTTTCGTGATTTTTTCTTGGAAGTTAATAAAATTTCCCACGTTATACCTACCAATCCAGGAGCGCCAATTTTATTCTTTTATTTTAAACGTTTTTCTTTATAAATATATATATTCAGTCACAGTGGACAGGGTGTGGACAGTATTTAGTTCTTTGCCGAACTGGCAGTCGCCAGATACGATATTTATATATTTTATTTGTTTATTTATTGTCTCTCTTGTTCTAGGCCCTCAACAGGCTTACGCCCAATTACAGAGTGACCCGCATAATGCTTTTTAGAGGTGCCCCTGCAGAAGGTCTTAAGTTATTCTATACTACTCCGGTATTTACCTTGCGAATTAGGAAAACTGCAGGAAAACCTAATTCGGAGTAGCCGGCGGAATGCTCGAAACTGATCTAAGGAAAATCCCATCTCTGCCACAGATGAAAAATTCACCTCAAACCAGGTTCGAACACCCGACCTCCGGATTTATACCCCAACGCTTCTACCACTGAGCTATAATGCCGGTCTTTCAAGTAGAGGGGAGGTGGAAACTGTGAGCGGGAAGAATGTTTTAAATAGCAGAAGAAGACGTGAATCGTTTTTTTTGTGGACGTTGAACGTAGCTGCTTATATTGTTTGGGGGTATGCCATTATCGAAGCTTTTTGAAAAGACAGTAAGTCTTGTTAATTATAAACTTTTGTGGAAGAATGTTAGAGGGTGTATAAAGAAATTTAAGTGGTCGTGATGAAATTGAATGTCTAAGTCGGGTTTAAGTGAAAGTTTTGTATACGTTTACGAAGAAGTTAGTCGGAGTGTTGTGTGCATCAAGCAGTTTTTGCTTAAGTGAAGCCTTTCTTTAAGGTCTTCAAGTACCAGTTAAAGGGAGTTTTTTCACCCTCAAAGAGCCAATTACAACGAACCCAGTTTTGTCTAAATCGAAATTTTAGTGGAATCAACGAAGTGAAATTCCCGAAGTAAAATCAGTTGTTGAAAAAAAAATGGCGCTCTGATACAGAGTACACATACCACGCAACAAGCGATCGATAGAACAAACTAGTTAAAAGAAATCTTAAGTATCTAAAGGTGTTAAATAATCCAAAATATCCGGTCGCATCTATGAGATCAAAAAAGAGTTGCTGTCACCTTTGGAATTGTTGTTTACATGGGAAATCATATTTAACTTGAACTTCCGAAGACGACTCGACGTCAATCCTTTTTTGATCGCCCGTTATAACTGACGCAAGTACACACAAATATTAAACGATGGTACTTTGGAAACTCACTTCTTTGACTTGCACTTAAATTTAGATTTTGACGATACTGACTTTGTTTCAATTACAGATGTAAAATTTGCTCTTTGATGAAAAATTACCTTTAAGAGGTAACGTGGGTAACTTTAAAGAAAGGCTTACATAAGCGAAAAAACGCTGGAGTGACAACACTCTGACTTTTTTCATAAACTCCCTTCTTTAATCTTTATTCGAACACCTTAAACGACGTAATAAAAATCATTTAGAGCACGCGACTAACATTTTTCAACAAAACTGTACAATTGGCAAGCTGGACTGTCTTGCAACAAAATACGCTCGTCGCTCAAGTACCGGACCTGCGTCCACTACGGCGAAACAGCATCTGCGATTAGAGGTGCTTATCTTCGAACTAATTAACCCACTCTTTTATCGCAATGACCCGAGATAAGACTTTTACAAAATAATAAACGTAATCTTTTAACACGTAATTTCTTCACAATTAAATAATAAAATAAACAAAATACAAGCAACTATTAAACAGATTAACAACATTAAATAATTCTTACAAAATCACACTGGCTCAAATTCAAATACCATCGTCCAAATTGTGTTCATTCTGAATTAGTGACCAACATTTAACGTCAAAGAAAATTGAAATCCACACATATAGGGCGACGCAACATTACTGTAGGTGCTGAAAGCCAACAAAACGTCCTAAATATAGCTTCCGCCAAACTCATAAATCATAATAATGTACTTGCTTCACTTCGTATATACGTTATTCGCGGATTTGCAATAATTGCAAACATTCGTATGCAGCGTCACATCATGTTGGAAAACCTTTAGATATCAAAACTTGATCTGCAAAGTAACAAGGTCTTGCCTTGAAAAAGGCTGTTAAGAGGTTATTAGTTTATTTGTTGGCAATTTCCTTATATTCATTCATAATCTTCTGTGCGTGTGTTTGTGACTCCTAAACGGCTGGACGGATTTTGTTGAAATTTTTTGTGTGTATCTCAGTGTGGATGGTTTAGACTCACAATTGGGCCCGATCGCGTTACAGGATTTTTCTAAAATCGCGTTTTTCGTTGATGTCGCACTCTGCTATTTCGCGTACTAATCAATACATGTGCCAAGTCGTTCCGATGTGTTTACATTGTTAGATTCTGTACGCTGGGTTTCCTTTGTCATATACAGGGTCCGGCAGTGGAATGTGACGTTTTTCGCTACACTGTTGTGATTAGAAATTTTGTTGTAAAAAAAAGTAAAAATCTGAAAAGTAATACTCATTGAATGCAGTTTTTAACAGTTTATTATTTTTTAAAAATTACAGATTTTAAATGTCCACCATTACACTCTATACATTTTTCAATATTTTCTCTTGCGTGGTTCATAACTGCGCCTCGAAGTCAGGCGTTCGCACAGTACGGGAAGAACCAGAAAACCTATCACAGACAGTTCCATGCGCATTCCACTTCTTAAACCATTGCAAAAGAATGTTCCGCGATGGAATGCGACAACGTCTTGGGATATTAAACTCAGCCCGAAATCGTCTTTGGACCGTAATAACCTTTTCAATGTAAGCCGTCGAGGCAAACACGCTTTGATTTGCCGACCAGTCCACCATAGCTACTAAACTGCGTACAATAACAAACACATCAGTCATAAACAGAACTCCCCCACCCATGCATGTGTCAGGCAGTGGCGCGTTAAAATGTGTCACATTCCAGTGCCGTACCCTGTATATCAGTCAATATCGTGCGTAGGGGGTCGCATAGGAAAACCTAGTTTATTATACAATTTTACACGAAATGTTGGGTAGTGAAAAGACAAGTTAATGGAAGATTGAAATCAACATTGTTTCTGGTTTGATACGAATGGATCTCTTTGAAAAATGTATAATTAACTTATTCTCCAAATGTAAACTATTGTAACGTGATTTATAAATTCGGGTTCGATTTATATCAATATTTATTAAACAAAACTAAAACACTATAAAAACTGTACAATTTGTATCGACTATTTATATCACACACTTCGCAATTTATATTTCCGCGCTCTATGTTTCATCCGTACTCGATCTCGTTCGGTAGTAGACTGCCGCGATGTTCGGTCCGCAACCATTTATACACGCAAGCAATGTAAGTCCAGAACATTCGCGTAATTACCAGATACGTTGCAAACATCCCCACTATCGCGCGCCTAGAAAATTCCAGAGCGCCAAAGGCGACGTCATGTCTGGAGCGTTTCCGTTACACTATATATTCTATAATGTAAGGGAAAGGTGTGAAAATACCCAACTACTAAGCACTTAACACAAATAACGTACACTTTCTCATGGTTGCTATTTTTTTTCAGTTTTTGGATGTCAATTCCACCCACCGGGAGAATACTTGCGCTTCGTGAGAGTTCCAGAAAATTTACAAATTGGACAAGACTTCCTTAAGATCGAAGTACACCCTAGACGTAACCTTAATTTATCTTCCATTGATAGGGTAATATGTACATTTTTATCACATAAGTATAGCTATTTCATCATTACCACCCTTTAGAACGACGATGTGCATTATTTCACATATCGTGAACTAAATGAAACTACAATTGCGTTGGTCCTAGCGAGATCCTTAGATGACTTAGTGGATACTGACAGTCCACAAAATGTGCTTAAGTTTAAGCTTGTCTGTGATTATGAGGATGGGGAAGACACGGTTGGTTAATTTTCAATTTAGTAATCACCATTCATCTTCGCCATTTTTTAGATATCTTCCTCGTTGTCTGTAACCGTGTATGTTGAAGATTTGAACGATAATTCGCCAATTTTCTTAGGAACACCGTATGAATTAACCGTAGATGAACTAACGCCAGTTGGTAAGTTTTAGGCAACGATATTGATCAAAGTATTCTCGTAAATGATTGTAGGTTTAACAATTTTCCGAAGAATTCTAGCTGCTGATCGTGACAAACCTAACACACCAAATTCAGATGTGCAGTACTCGATAACTGGAGGCAACGAGCGAGGAATGTTTGCTCTCGATGGCAGTCACCAAGCATTTTTGATATTAAGGAAGCCTCTCGATTACGATACAGGCGACAGAGAATTTACGATTACTGTTACAGCTTCGGTAAGTGTTGCGTTTGTCATAATTATTGTGTTATTGAGATATTTCTATTGCGTGTTTACCTATAGATAATCCTCTTTTGGTTGGCGACAATTGCCCGTTTTCGCTTGCTTTGTCAGGAAATTTTACAAACCACGTCATAATTGACTGAATAATTGATTAGTTCATGATCACTTTTTTTTCTAAACCTATTCCTCTATATGGATATTTTTTCAAAAACTACAGCGTTCGCGAAGTAATCAAGAGCAAATTGCTGTAAATCAGCCAGTGTAATTACAATTGTAATTAATCCTATAAATTGTGGATCTTGTACCACGTAGATAGAGTATGCCGTTCCCTATTCTTTAAAACTGCAAGTTTTACTATTTACCGATTCAGTTCTCCGCACGGTTGAAGTAATTCATTTCCGTTAACAGTTAATGCATAATAAATGTAGAAAATAACTGGAAATTCAATTTGCCCATTTATTACAAGTTGACGTAGGTATTTATTATGAATCCATGAACAATGAATCCGATAGTGTTTAAGTAGCTTCTGTAATTGCATTTTGAATTGACAAAGCCGTTAGCTAGATCACAAGAATTGTTCAGTATGGCGTTGAATTAGACGCTATTACTTATAAAATGAAATTATTAGTGGCAACCATGTGAGACGCGTAAATAGCGAAGAAATGCTCTCGAACCTTGCAAGAGATGACCAATGATTTTTTTACGCAAGAAATCGCAGGTCATACTTTATCTGTGCAGGGTGTAACGATTAAGTATGTCAAAAAAACTTGGTGGCAGAGGAAACCAAACCCAATGATGCTTTCCAAATAACTTAATGTCACTTGTCACCAAAAGTTTCAACTTCTTTAATGTTTTATATCGAAAATATATCAGGTTTTGGGTTTCTTCTCTTTGATTTTAGACAAAAAAATTCAAAACTCCTAGCTCAAGATGGCGCACCTCCAAGGAGAGGAGGCACTTGTAGTGCAGGAAGCAGAGCTTCATTATGAAAAGAAAACTACATTAATATACAGGGTGATTCCTATAGTACCTGCCACCGTTTGGGAGCGTATAGGGGGTGCCTAGGGGAAGTCTTTTCATATAGGACACTTGGGGTCGGAAATCCAAAATAAGGGCGCCAGAACCAAATTTATCTTCTGGAATTTCACGCCTGTATGTAGGCAACCCAACCGACCGACGTTTTGCGCGGAGCGATGCAGAGCGAGTTAGCGCGAGGAAGCGACATGGGAGGGAAGGAGGGAAAACGACAGTCAAAAGCAATAACGTTTACAAGTGTTCAACGTGGCCACCGTTGTTCTCAATGCCCTTCCTACATCTAGCCAACCACTCCCCTCGAACTCGCGTGAAGACTCCTATGTCCTGGCGAACAGCCTCTCCGGCCATGACGACGCGCGCAATTAAGTCCTCTTCGGATTCAACGGGAGTCTCGTAGACGTGCGCTTCCATCACACCCCACAAGTAAAAATCTAATGGGGTGATGTCGGGCGAGCGGGCGGGCCACTCCACCGCACCTCCACGGCCGATCCATCTGTCCGGATAGGTTTGGTCCAAGTGTTCCCTCACCTGCCGCCCGTAGTGAGCAGGGCACCCATCGTGCTGGAACCAGTGGTCCCAGTACAAGTTCACTGGAACATCCATTAAAAGTTCTGGTAGCACCTCGCGCAGGAAAATCAGGTAATTATGGGCATTTAGACGCGGAGGGAGGATGTAAGACCCCAGTAGGTTGTCCCCCAGGATGCCAGCCCAAACGTTTAAAGAAAACTTGTCCTGGTATCCTCGCGTAAACGTTTCATGAGGATTGTGCTCCGCCTAGTAGTGGCTGTTACGAGGATTGAAGGTCCCCTCTCTTGAGAATCCTTTCTCGTCAGTAACTAGCACGCTCCTCAGAAAGTTCGGATTAGCTTCTTCCTCCTGGACGACTAAGTTGCAGAATTCCAGCCTCCTTTCATGGTCACCCGGCCGTAACTCTTGCACTTTCTTAAACTTATAGGGTGTAAGTTGTTGTTGTTGGCGATGTTCCACACTGTGTGTTGACTACAACCCACCTGATCTGCTACAAGTCGAGTGCTAGTACGCGGGTTTGCCTCGAAACGTTCCAACACATCCTCCTCTAAGGCATTTACCAACGGGCAATCGCGATCACGGGCGCTAGTGGGCTGCGAAATAGGAGGAGGTCGGTGTAAACAAACAAACTTTTCGAAATGGGTGCTTAAATGACCCAAGTATCGATGTGCATCACGAATCTGTGTGTAAAGTTAAGCCTCCGTCAGCTTACCTGCAATTGCCCTGTCTCGCACAGTCGGAAGTGAACTTCTTGAAAGACCTGTTTGCAGGGTAACTGACGGTTTGGATACCGCTCAGCGTACGCTCGTCGTGCAGCTCGTGCGTTACCATTTGCCAATCCGTACATGAAGTGCATGTCCGCGTATTCCGTGTTAGTAAAACGTGCCATAGTCTTTATTCACTTGATACGCGTCGTTGCAGACGGGATTTCGTGGGTTTAAACAAAATTCTGATCAAGTGTCAGCCACACATCGCCGCCTGAGATCGCTCCGTGTGCACCGCCGGCCGGTTCGGTTGCCTACCTACAGGCGCGAAATTCCAGAAGGTAAATTTGGCTCTGGCACCCTTATTTTAGATTTCCGACCCCAAGTGTCCTATATCAAAATACTCCCCTACGTACCACCTACACGCTCCCAAACGGTGGCAGGTACTATAGGAATCACCCTGTAGATCAAGGAAGATAAAGTGCGCGGATTTTTCTGCTGGTGCAAACCTAAGTAAAATTGATGCATTCCTTTGTGATAGATACGCTGTTTGAATTTTTTGAACCTTGGTTGTTATAATACGAGTAATTCCTGAGAAACAACGCCGAAAAAATAATATACAGGGTGTTACACTTGAGTTACACCAAATCGGGTGAATAAAGGAAAAGGCCAACGTGTTTCATTCCTCCGACACCCCGAGGGATACCGGAGGCGGGCTGTTTGTAGCTTGTAGCAGATTCCAAATTGCGCTAGGATAAAATCCCTAAAAGGTTACCTATAGTCAAACGTAGACCAGAGTTGTTCCCTAAACTAAAGTTATTCTGAGCTGACGTGTTCTCAAGGTCCAAAGGCCAAGAAGTAGAGCCATCTTTGTCATAAATGTCAAGCAGGGTTCTTGTCTAAGCTCAAGTGATTCTCATTTTTGATCACTGCCTTTAATTTCTGTGCTAAAATACAATTCAATCGCAGATGCTGTATGGCTGATTCTAAACATGATCGTCAACGATGAGGTCGGAATTAGGGTTTATATAAGTCTCTATACAGGATGTTACAAAGTCGATGCATTAGCATTGCTATCTTGGTGACTACTAATATTTGACAAATTGTCGATAAATGTACTTTTCTCTAGGAAAATTACAGTAACTTAACAGCTCTCCAGTACACTCTTCCTCTCCCTAATTTGCTCTTATCTACAATGTTGGTGGGCAAAGCTCTAAACTGTTACCTGCGTTAAGTTGTTCCCTCTCATTCATAAACCTAAATGTCTTTCATACATTAAGTTGTGTTCGTTTTGCGCTGATTTGTACGCCAACTTCTATGTCGACAGGTCAAAGTGAAACTCCATTGGTTAAAATTTTGATCACTCTCGTTCAGTGAATTTCGAGCTAGCTCCCCTACCACATAACAAAGTATTGTGCAAATATACAAATCCGCCTCAATGCTAAAAAAATATTAATTCGAAATTAAATATAAATAAAATTACCGATCACTGAAACAAAATAACTAAAATCCTTTGCTTGGATCTGATTGGTCTGATGGATCAATGAATGAAATACAGTACAGAAGTTTTTTTAACAAATGGTCCTCCTAGGACGATTTCTTCAGGAATATTAAAGTTACAGAATTAATACGGAAATTCCTAAAAATAACCAACCAATAATTTATACAATGCAAAAAATTCCAAACAACTTACAGGAATTGACGTGGATGATCACTGAAACAAAATAACTAAAATCCTTTGCTTGGATCTGATTGGTCTGATGGATCAATGAATGAAATACAGTACAGAAGTTTTTTTAAACAAATGGTCCTCCTAGGACGATTTCTTCAGGAATATTAAAGTTACAGAATCAATACGGAAATTCCTAAAAATAACCAACCAATAATTTATACAATGCAAAAACTTAGCCCAACCTTATTTAATCTCTACATAAGCGACATGGAGAAAGTATTAGAGAGGGCCAAGGTGGAGCGATCGTAGTGGGAAGAAGAAAGATAAGGTGCCTGGCATACGCGGCCGACGCAGTGATAATGGCAACAGCGGTAGAACGAAAAACGAAATTATGGGAAGAATGAAACGGTATTGGGAAAGGGAAGGAATGGGAAGGGAGATAGAATGGAAATGGATGGGTGAAAAGAATAGAAGGGTACTAGACGGAAACAAATAATAGGGCAAATGCCCAAGTAAGAGAACTAAGGAAAAAATTGAAAATTGAAAATGTACTTTTGGCTATAAATATTTAAATTTTTATTCAATAAGGTATAATAAAAATTCGAATTGAAAAGAATCAGAGCTGTAAACAGAGATAGTGTGTATATGAATAAATAAATCAATCAAATAACTAACACACAAAGAGAGTGCAATAACTATATTCCTTTTGGCGAAATGCTTTAAAAATGTGCGTGCTTCTACTTTATAGACAGAATGTGGGATTATATCTCCTCGCGATTCAGTTCAGTAAATTTCAGTAGTGCGAAAGATGATCATTACATCCTTCCGTTTTAATTATTACATGAATTAATAATAAACTACCATATTACCTATTGTTGTCAAACGCTAATACTCATACAAAGCCTTATTAATACTTAGTTATTAATCGAATAATTCAAAGATGTGATTATGGTATATGCTGAATCATACTGTTTATTATATCATTAATGAGTAACAAATTGCCAGAAACTTTATTATGCTTGATTTCCGTTTGGGAAAAATTTCGTCCACTTTCTCGAAATTTTAATTTATTAGAATGTTGAATTACAATTATTTTGACGTTTCGGTATTAACGACATTAACTTTAATGTTTATAATGTTTACCTAAAGTCACCTTCGATGGTAGGATATTAAAACTTCTTAGTCGTTTCTTCAGGTTTCCAAAATTAGAATAACCTTTGAGTTTTTAAAATGAAAGCGAATTACTGTTATTAAATGTAGCGTATTTGGTTGTTGACATAGATTGATTATTGATTATTAATATTTTTTTATTATTGTTCTATTTTTTACGTATTTTTATGTAATCAAGAAAATGGCAATTTGTATTTCTCATATACCTACAATAAATTTTACTTTCTTTCAACGCATATAATAACCTAGGTCTTAGATAATAACATATTCAGGGCGTTTCATTTAAAAAATGCCATTTTTTTAAACACATCGATAACTTAATGCCCAGTTGTTTTTCTGATTTTTTTGTCAATTAAATTGATTCCGTAGCTCCAATAATTGTAAAATTAGCATTATAGGTAAGTACCTAGTAGGGGCTTTAGTTCGAACAAATTTGATTTACATAAATAACTTCAACAACTTCATCCAATATAACGATATAGGTACTTCTTAAGATACTGCCAATTTATCTGGGCCATGGCGACGCAGGGCATACCTTAATGTATGACAATACAAGGTTTAATTTAATAACTAAATCAACCCTATACCCGTAGAAAGATACGTTTTTGGAGAAAGGCGGGCTGACAACGCGTTTTTTTAATGAACACTAAACAACTTAACAGCATTTTTACGCATAATTCCTTAACACAATTTCCTATCTTAATTAATTTAATGAAAAATTAACTATGGTAATTGATGTGCGTTCTTTTTTTACTCATTAATATTGTACTTTTAATTTAGGACCGTGGTATTCCACAAAGAAGTACGAATGCTTCCATAAGCATAAAGGTACAAGATGCAGATGATCTCAGCCCTAAATTTACAAAAGGAGTTTATAGAACAAGGCTTGCAGAATTCTACCCATTGACAGTAAGTCTTATACATTGTCTAACATTTACATTGTATGCACTACTCTCCCCCTTGAAGTTATAATTCTCTATAGAGACAAGAAAATAATGTACTACCTAACACAACTTTGACATTAATTAAGCAGTGATTCATTTCCAAGCAGATTAAATTAATCTGCCTCGTTTTAAGCAAAGTCATTTTTTGCTAAACTTTTACACTCAAGAGATTACCCTCTCGCGTGTTTTGTTGTGCTTCTAATATTTCAGTTACGTAATTTACAAAAGGGGAAAATGTTATGCAGGGAGAGAAAATCCACCACCGGTTGAAGTTTGAACCGCCGATATTTGCTTACGATCAAGATTTGGCGATTGACGCGGCAATTCGCTACGATATCTTAGCGGGAAACGATCGCCATTTATTTTACCTAGATCATTTTAATGGTTCCTTATTCCTCGAGAGGGAAATTGATTTAGAAGCTGAAGGCTCGTTACCAGGCAACACCTTTGTACTCCAAATTCAAGCTTCACAAGTCGACGATCCTTTAAAGTTCGTTGTCGCACGCGTCGAGGTTGAAATTCTCGACGTAAACGATAACCTACCAGAATTTGAAGTTGATCGTTATAATATTAGCATTGTTGAAAATATACCAAAAGGCTTCAGCGTTCTGCAAATCATAGCCAAAGACCCCGATCAAGGCGACAATAGCGAGTTCAGCTATGATTTGGAAGACAAAAGTGGTGCATTTGTAATTGATCCTCGTACGGGGTGGTTGACGGTAAGTTTCTTCCAAAACTTAACTTTACCAAAACTAATTATTGTAGGTGAGAAATCATACCCTACTCGATCGCGAAAAATTCTCACATTTAACCCTGACAGCATTCGCAAGAGAAAAGACTGTTAGTGTCATTACAAATAAAATTGATTCCTCTGCAGTACCAATCGATGTGACATTATTGGACATTAACGATAACAACCCCATGTTCATTCCAAACAATATCTATGAATTCATCAGCACGACAAGTAAGCGTGTAGGAGAAGTTGTTGGGCAGGTTCAAGCAGTCGACTTAGACTTAGGCCGCAACGGTTTGGTTCAGTATTCAATACAAAAGACAGCAAACGCCACCAACTTGTTCAAAATCGATACTCGAACAGGACAACTATTTGTTAATTCGCAGTTTTTGGTGGAAGGGAATCATACCTTGCTAGTCGAAGCTTCGGATCAACCAACAAATCCAAGCGAAAAAAGGTCATCAGTTGCCGTTGTTACCATTAGAGTGTATACAAAAGAGGAACCCGCCAGTAGTACGTTTAACTATGAGCGGATATTGCCAAACTGACTTGCATGTTTCAGAAACAAGTAGCGACCATCCGGAATTTTTGGGAGCGCCCTACGAATTCTGGGTTGGGTTTAAGGTCGCAGTGGGAACTAGTATAGGCCAAATTCGCGTGGCCACAGCAACGGATAATAAGAGGAATATGTTTGACTTGTTACACAGTTATAAGGAAGGAGGTTTGTACAAATGTTTTTACGTTGAAAATTTGGTTTATGTTGGCAATACTGAAAAAGTCAGGGAAAGAAACCTTTCAGTGTCACATTCAACTACAACAGACGATGTCATTTCAATTACCTTTACAATGCTCCTTAGAATTTGTTATCAATTTAAAGAAAGCCACACTGCCAAATAATATTTATATTACATTATTATTATTATTACATTAAACTATGGAAAATGTATTAGTACATGCATGTCTATGACACATTACGTAGATATCACAGTAAATATACCGCATATCTTAAATGAAAGTACGATAAAACATATCAAAAACATCAACAGATTTTTTTGGGCTCCGTTTTAGGAATATTATCGCCTAAATAAGTACCGTGTCATTAGAAACATTTTTTAGAAAATCTGTTAATCTTGCATTAACAATAATATTCTTTTTACACGATTTTGAGTTAAACAGTTATTATCATGCTTTAAAGAAAACCAGAAAATTACTCCCAAAGATATGTCCAAAAAGCCGAAATTTTCCGATTTGGGTTTTATTTTTTCCTGATGTTATTTGAACAGATACAAAAAAAAACATTAAAACAACTTTTTCATTGCCACTTTTTGAGCTCTACAACTTGAAACCTGTTAGTTTCAGCAGGATAGTGCACCTGCGCACTACGTCCTAACCGTGCGAGAATACCTATCGGACAAAATTTCCATTATACAGGAAATTTGCCCGATGGTGTTCTCACTCGAATACCGATGTTGTGCGCGAGTCCTGTTGAAACCAACAAAATTGCCAATTTTTGTTTTCCTTTGTCCTGTACATCGTTGTAGTCATAATAAAGATAGTTACTCAATGCAGTATGTACTTTTTTGACGAGTCTTATAAAAAAATAAAGTTGATGATGATTTCTCCGAAACGAAACGTTGCATTGAAAATCTCTCAACGATGTCTTGTAGAGCTCAAAAAGTGACAGTGGGAAAGTGCTCTTAATTTTTTTATATCTCTCAAATAACATTAGAGAACAATTAAAACCAAATCGGTAAATTTCGGTTTTTTTTGGAATATCTTCGGAAGTAACAGAATTTTCTAGTTTTCTTTAAAGAATGATAATAACTTACTGCAATTGCGTATCTTTTCTTTAATTTGACCCTCGGTCTATCTTGTATGGTTTCGGAGATCCCCATGATAAACATTCTTATCTTGGACATAGTGTATGTCTAAAATATCTATGATACGTATTACAATATAATATGTTGCATTACACAATATGCCTGTGACATTCCAAATGAATTGTTTCCAATGTGGTCGTCTCCTGCTGTGTTTTTGAAACATTCCAATGAAACGTCAAAACAACCTATAACCTTACAATAGCTAACCATAAATTCGCTAAAAACGTGGCGGGTGGCATGATGGGAATAGTTCGAGTAGTTCGTGCTCGTCTGAAATCGAATACTATCGGAATTTGTAATCCGTAAGAACGCGAAAGTTCAAATAAGCTTTTTTATTTAGTGTGCCGAATAAGATCTTTGACATGTACCTACTTTATAGATGCTTTGAATTATCACATTTGAAATTTTTCTGTATTATGTATGTCACATAAAATTTAAAATCCTATCCTATCGTCGATTTTTACCAAAAATTCAAACATATACAGTGAATTTTTTTTAAATGCGAACATAGGAGTTATTTCCCTATGTTCGATTAAAAAAAAACACATCAATCTATTGAGTAGTAGATACAATTGACAGCTGTCACAGTTTTAAAAATACCGCCGTCCAATTTAATTAGGAAATCGGTTAGTTTATTGCTTAGAATGTCAAGGAGGACACTTCGAACATTTATTGTAATTGTTTTCGGTATTTATTTTCTTATTTTCTTCATTTATGTATTGACTAGATCAAATTAGTAGAATACCAGGTGCACATGACTACAAATAATTGAAGGTTGGTTCTCAATGAGTTGTGGTGTCAGTGCGTGGCCTGTGAGGTCAAGTTATCGTAAGTTTAAGATAAATGTATCCCAAAGTTGCTATGGGCTCACATGGCTTCTTTAAAAAAATCTTACCGAGTGCTCTTCATCATAAAGACTATAGAGTTGCTGTTCATAGTCACACAAGTTGCGCGATTTGGGAATGTGAACCGCGCACACCTCATAGATTGATGTGTTTTTTTTTTTAAATCGAACATAGGGAAATTACATTGCATGCAAACTCCTATGTTCGCATTTAAAAAAAACTCACTGTATGTATATAAACATTTTACATCCATTGTACGTGCTGAGAAGTACGTCGTATGTATATCCATTTTTTGTACATGGGCGAGTACCTAAAATGGACATAATATGTACGTCCGATGTACAAAGTGTGCTCTATGGAATACTAAATCAGTAGTTGAATCCGAATCATCATGACCCAAATTGTTTGTTGCATACATAAATAACGTACGTTTTCCTTAATTTAAAATTTCCTGGTATAGTTGTTATTACTCGTCATAATTTTGATTTTCCCTGCCGTTTTGTGTCCGTCCTTGTACTTACTTAGTGCGCACGCAAAATGTTCGTGGAAGGAGGAAATTTGTTGTGAAGAGAACAGAAAAAACAAGTTCCAATTTTGCTATGCTAATATATATTTTTTTACTATCTTGTCGTGCCGAAACTCAATGTTGAAACCCTAAACTTGCAATAGAAGAAACAAAACCCTACTCATCGACCATCGTTCTTCTCAACAACCACGCAGTAAGTACTCCTTATCTTTTAACCGTTCCAAATTCGCAAGTACGTTATATAAATCTCATAATGAAATAATTCTCAAGTAACATCCAGTCAGTATTATTACCTTTATTTTGTAGCGATTATACACTGTGTCCATGATAAGCATGTCGATCATATGGATCTCCGAAATCATAAAAGATATACGACGATGTCAAATTAGAGAAGAGGCGCAATTAAAGTTATTCATGCTTTAAAGAAAACCAGAAAATTCCGATTACTTCCGAAGATATGCCAGCAAAACCGAAATTTGCCACTTCCGGTTTAATTTTTTTCTGATGCTATTGGAAAAGATGCAAACAAACAAAAAAACACTTTCTCATTGCCACTTTTTGAGCTCTATAAGACACCGTTGAGAGATTTTCAATACAATGTTTCGTTTCGCAGAAATCACCATTAATGTTATTTTTTGTATAGCCCGTAAATATACGTACAGTTGAGTTGTGTCGCGGTAATCCGGATAAATTAAAACGAACTTCCGAACTGTAGAATAATCCGGTTTACCGAGCAACATTTATCAGAACTCAGTACGGATTATGGGAACATCCGGATTATCACGGGTTCGGATTATGGAGACACTACTGTGCTGTATTACGTACACATTTTTTATTACAAATACAACGATCTACGGTACACAAAAAAATACAAGATGCAAACTGTGTGTTTCAACAGGATGGCGCATCACCCGTAATAAATAATGTTACTTAATACAGTATGTACCTTTTTTACGGACCATATAAAACAATAAGGTTGATGATGATTTCTCCAAAACGAAACGTTGTGTTGAAAATCTCTCAACGCTGTTTTGGGGATTCTATATACTTTCTGCAACTTGACAGCTCAGTCGATAGACGCACACGTATAGTGCTGCCACTACACAAATTCCTGATGATTCCCAGGCTTTTCCTACCGAGTTTAAAAAATAGTGCAACTCACGTATGAGACACTCCTCGTAGTTCTATCATTCACTTGTGAAAAAATGGCGATTAAGCGTTAAGGGTTTGACATTAGTATTGTAAATACAAATATTGTTTGTTCAATCCTGTCATTGAAAACAAGTGTTTCTTACTTAGATACCAAATGTGAAAGTGTTTGTTTTACCCATTCAAACTATTTCCATAGCAACGGGTGAGCGAAAAGAGTGAGTGAAAAATTTTCACCCACTCATAATAGGTACACATACGCTGAACTTTTATTTATTCATAATTCATCACTAATAGATACAAAGCAACAAAATTACTTATAAATATGAAAATTAACATTTCAATTGTTAAAAATTGGTTGATTGATACCAGGGACTTGAACTTTTCCACTTCCACTTCTCTTTGATCAAATGTCTTCGCTTTTTTAGGTTGATAACCCTTAGAATTACTTTTTAGAATCGCGAACAAGGTTTTAAACCTAAAACATTTCATATATTACAACCAGTAAATTAATAATGAACTAAAACTTACTTGCTTATGTCCACTTTCTCAAAAACAAATAGGGTGCATTTAAGCATCGAAAATATAGACCATAAAGAAGGGGCAGCGTATTTTTGTATCAATCCATTGAAATAAGCAACCACTACTTCTTCAATTACAACATTTACGTTTCTGTTCTCCATCCACGACCGAAATATTTCCAACTCCTTGATGTATCTGTCTTTGGATTTTTTCGGTAATAAATTAAATGTCGCTGCATTCGCTTCTTCCAAAATGTTATCTGGCACAAATACACTATTTTCATCTTCCATTTTCTTGGAAATCTAAGTAAACGCGCACACTTTTGCTACAATTATAATTTGTTGACAGATTGTGTCAATTGTTTTATGCAGGTCTCATGGGAACCATAACAACGAAAATTACCTACTATGTTTTTTTCAGATGCTTAAAAAATAACTAACTGTTTCTTTTTAAATTTTTATTAGTAACAGGATTGAACAAAACGCTATACAGCACTCGTGGAAAACTAAATCACTCACTTGTGTGTCGTTCCACACTCGGCTACGCCTCGTGTGTAATCTCGACACACGCGTGAGTGAAACTTTTAGTTTCTCCACTTGTACTGTAATATACTATTTTTAGTTCCCTTCGCCGTAGAAGAAAAGTTAGGAATAATTACAGTAATAGATAATTTAAACAAGTATAACAGAAGCGAATATGAATTTGAAGCAATTTTCATTACTGAAGGTGGAGTGTCTATCGTTACTAATGTAACAATCCACGTCGTTCATCCGGATGTTGATAAAACCAGTCTTGTAAAGTATGCTACTAATTCTCTACTAAATTTCAGTTATTTAACATAGGTAAAGTTACAGGGGACCTGCTACTCTGCTGGAATTTCACATACGAGAAAATAAAGTTGGTGCCCTCATCGGAAAGATTGAGCACAATTCCACTGACCGCTTTTCAAAATTTACAATAGCTAATCAACGAGATGTCACGGATTATATCTCAATTTCGTCCGACGGATCACTCTACACACAAAAGGCGTTCGACAGAGAAAAGCGAGACCTATTTAGATTAACAATTCTTGCCGAATATATGATGGGAACGCACAAGAATACCGAAATTTATCAGTTGATCGTGTACGTTGATGATGAAAATGACAATGCTCCAGTTTTTGAGCATAAGGAATACGAAGGCAAGATTTTGGAGAACTCAAAATCTGGAACCGAAGTGAATCTGAATAGAAAGATATCGGCCAAGGATGCCGATGTTGGTCTGAATGGCCATTTTGCGATCAGCATTTTTGGTAATGGCAGCGAACTGTTCAGGTTGGATAGGTACACGGGGCGACTTTACTTGCAAGGTGGGTCAAACAGTTTAAACAGGGAGGAGAAGGCTGTTTACATTTTGCGATTAATCGCTAAGGATGATGGTGGTTTGTATGGAGAAGCAAAACTAACGATAATTATAGAAGACACCAACGACAATGCACCTACATTTAAACGTATTATTATTCTTCCTAATCGAGGAGTCGATGTACTAGAGTATGGACCATCGAAAACCAACATTTTACTGTTCCAAGAGATGGTTTCAAATGTAACCACTGGAATACAAGCACTAACGCAAACTCAAATCAAATTCGTTGGGAAACCAAGGGTGTCATCGCCACTGTTTGCATTTCCAGAAAGCATTCACGTTGGAAACTCCCTGTTCAGATTTGAAGCTGAAGATTTGGATTTACACGAAAACTCAGTTATCAAATATGAAATGTTATCAGAAACCTACATTCCGAACGCGGTTTTCTCATCGAACCCCTTTCACGTCAATCAACACTTTATGATGCACCCGACAAATGGAGAAATAGTAGTGGCCCGAAGTCTGCCCCCGGAATCCAGCTTCATATTAAACGTTGTTGCCAGTGATAAGGATGGATTAAAGGACAATGTGACAATACGGCTTTTTGTAAATGACGTAAATGATCATCCGCCAATGTTTTCGAAGCCATGGTACTCCTTTGATGTGGAGGAGGCAACTTATTCGCAAAAAGTTATAGGAAGGGTGGAGGCTGTAGATTCCGATTTTGGCCCAAATGCAAATGTGTCCTATCACATTCATTACCAAAGCAATCAGAGTTCGCCGTTTTCTATAACTAAACAAGGCGGTGCCATTACGGTGCATGGTAAATTAGATAGGGAACAAAAGGATAAATATCGGCTTTCTGTAGTAGCTTCTGATAATCCTAGTTCCGGCAACAAATTGTCAACGATTGTTAGTGTTGAGGTTAACATATTGGATGTAAACGACAATGCGCCTATGTTTTACGGATATGATAATCTTATAGACTACCATGCCGATAAAAAAACAGAAGGCGTTCACGCATTTGCAGAATTCATCCAAATTCCCGTTTACTACGGACACATTTTTGAAAATTCGCCTATTGGAACATCGGTTACAAAGGTGTTTGCCAATGACACAGATTTTTTAGGAAACGGAAATGGACTGTTTCTCTTCAGTATTTCCCAAAAGAAAAACCATGCGCATTTCTTTACGATCGATTCGAAAGATGGAGTCGTTAGTACAGTGCGTAAATTAAATTATGATGTACAAAGAACGCACAACGTAACTGTAATCGTATCAGACCTAGGATCGCCTAGTTTGAGTTCAACAGCGCTCGTTGTGGTAAACGTCCTAAACAACGAAATTAAAAATTCGACGCAGAATATATTCCTTCATCGTTATTATGAAATTGAAGTCGAAGAAAACGTCCCAGTTCCACTGAAAGTAATGACATTAAATGTGACGGAACCATATCGCAAACGTCGCTTGCGTTTCAGCATAGTTGCCGAAAAGAATTCCGATATCAAGAAAACCTTCCAAATTGATCCCAGAAATGGAACAATTTTTATTACGTCCAGTCCCGATAGAGAAAAGCGAGAAAATTACGAACTTCTCATTCGCCTAGATGAATACAAAGTCGCGCGTGATATGACTGTAATGGTTTATCCAGTTTCAAATGAAAGGTTGGGAGAATTAGGTAACGTTCCTCTACATTGGCGCAATGCTCATTTTAATGTCTTAGGGTTAAACGAAGTGAAGGTGGTTGTTCGAATAACCGACGTAAACGATAATGCACCGAATTTCACCCTTAGTGGAAAACCTTTAGTTACAGCGATTCCGAATGATGTAAGCTATGGGTACCATGTCATCAAACTGCAGGTTTAAATTGAAAACTGCAAATTTCGGTAGCAAACTGACGCTATTGTTTCAGGCGTTCGATCCCGACTGGGATATCAACGGTAAAATTCGCTACCAAATACTAGGGCGCGCGGACGAGGCGTCGCGACGATTTGTTATTGATCCGACGACCGGACAAGTGAGAACGATTTCTTCCTTCGCGAACGATGCAGGTCGCCTTTTCGGATTCGATGTTAAAGCTACCGACCGTAACGGCGCTGATGACGGAAGATCGACAATCGCCAATGTTCTCGTACGTATGAGGGATTGTGTTGCTTAACGTATATTCAAAGAATAGTTTGTAGGTTTACATTTTGGATCAACAGAGGCAATTGGTAATGACGGTACAATCTACGCCTATTGACATCGAAAACAATTTAGAAAATTTCACAAGGTGAGTGTTTTTTCGGAAGTTTTTGCTCTGAAATTTATTTTCATTCACTCCAAAGTTAAACAAGTATAAATTGTGCACAACGCTTGCGAAGATAAAACGTATATTGTTTAAACCGAAATATCTTAGTAAATGGTTGGGTTATAAGGGGAGGAGGTTCTTTACACACAAACATTTAAAGACTGCCTGACATACATTCAAAATCCTCCGACACTCCATTCTGCAGATTTTGCCTTTTAGAGTACTTTCCTCCGACAAACTGTTTTCGAGATAGTGTGTGCATAGTACAATAAAGGCAACTTCGCATTTCGTGTTTGTCCTGACTTAGATATTCGCTCAAAAGTCACAGGGGCGTTGCATAATCCAAACGGCATAACTTTAAACTGCCACCTAAAGTGCCCGAACGAACGCTGAACGCAATCTTTTCTCGATGTTGAGCTTCGAGTCCAACCTACCGGTAACCACTCTTCATATCCAATGTTGAAAAGCGGTAAGTTCCGGTAAGAGTATCTAAAGTGCCATCGATTTTTGGTAACGGGTAACTGTCCTTCCTGGTAACGTTATGCAATTGTCGATAGGCAATCTACGCAAAATCGTGTGGACCCATCTTTTTTTTACCAGCACCAAAGGTGACGTCCACGGGGTGGTAGACGGTTCAATGATGCCTTGTTGCGCCATATCCTTTATGATCTCAGCTTCTTCCTATAATCCATGGTCGATAATATCGACTTAAATCGCTATGGACTATGTTTTTCTTTTATCATAGTCCATGGCTACTTAGACTAAAAACTCGTGAAAACAGAATCTTTATAATTAATTTTTTCACGTACAAGAAGAGGTAGAATAATCGTTTCACATGATTTAGATGCAGAATTTATATCTCTATAACTTTTATTTCAAGTATATTTGCGTAAAATAATTAGGAAACGTTTGCGCAGAGAAAAAGTAATTTCCCATGTTAAACGCCTATGTTCCACTTTTCGATTTACACCCTGTACACGACAAATTTCGTGGAATTCTCTCCATTTTCGTTGTCCGGCTAAGAATTGCAGTGGAACTTTTTTTTTCGAATTTTCAAAAACTAATTTCAGATTCGTCATTTTCATGTTCAAAAACCCCCAGATACCATATTTCGTCAAAATCAGATTTTTTCGCACCCCCAAGTAGGGATGCGCCAATTCGTGGTAGGAACTTTGAAAATCGGATAGGGCATACCCGAAAACCTATTTAAAGACGTGTTACCCATCTTTGTAACTCTAATGGTTGCTGAGAAAAAAATGAAAGAAGAAATCCAAATTTAATCACTTCTTTGGAGGTGGCTCCCAAACGAAACACGTTGGACCCTCGGTTTATTTGGAAAAAGTGCTTGTCTTGATCCCCTCCATCACCCAATTTTTTTTACATGCGGTCATGTAACACCCTGTATTAATAAAAAACAAGGCGATCAAGTCCCATTTTTCTTAAACACTTAGTTTGATTTGAATTATTTTTTTCACTCATAAAAAGAGAAAACTGACAATGCTTACTTCGTGATCACGTGTCCCTGGTAAATTAGATTCTTACCTAATTTTCCTCTTTACCACTTAGTAAATTACTAATACATTCTCCTGCTCAAAACATACACACGCACCTTGAATACGAAATAAAACTTTTATTCAACCGAAAGAATGGTATTACTGAATTTAATGGAAAATCTCAATCAATGAAATAAAATACCCCAAATCCTTTGTTTGGATTCGCTTCTCCGCAATAAATACAATACAGAATTTGTTGTGGAAATTGTGCTCATAGGTCGATTTCTTCAGGAATATCAGTTACTTTAAACAAAAATCAAATTGAAAATTACCAGACCGCCAATTTATACAATTCAAAAAGAATTTAAAATAACACAGTTATTGAGGTGAGTAAAATTCTCTCCCGCTACGAATTGATCATCCTGGAAAATTGTCGCTCAATGATACAGTGGACTGTTTGTCTCAACTTGGTAACGTTATCTTCGTGGTGAATGCCAAGCATACCGTTATTCTACACTGGAATAAAACGACAATGTTGCTGTATGAATTTTAAATTTTTAGCTTCCTAGCATGTGCTAGGTAGCTATTGCGATAGCCGTTTTTTGAACATTTCAAAATTTCATCAAATGTCGACGTTTTAGACCATTTTAAGCAACTTTTAAAGAATAAAATTTTTTTCCGTCTGTATGTACGTACGTACGTACGTTTGTTGGCAATTTTCTGAGAAAACGGCTCGACGGATTTTGTTGAAATTTTGTATATATGTTTTAGGCATACCGAACAGAAAAATAACGGGCCGGATTTTTGAAAAGAAATTTTGGAGCGCCGTAACGGCATCGAACTTTTTTTTTCAAATAGCAACCTAAAATTTTTATTCTATTATTAGATCATTTTAAGCATTTTAAGAATAAATTTTTCCCGTCTGTAAGTGCGTATAAAATGTTATTTATCGCATAAGACGTTGCATAAATGCGTTACGCAAATTTGATAAATTTGCTTATAACTAACCGTTTACGGTTTGGTTTTAAACACAATTCTCCGGCTCGAAAATGATCCTTCGCGTAAATCTTATCGCGGACAAATAAACGGCCCGGTACAAATAAAGGCCGCCAAAAGGTTTTTCTTCATCCCGTAATCCACTACAAATTTGTTATCTGCACACGAATGAAATTTCAGGTAGATAGCAGTTTGTCACGAACGAGAATTTATTTAAATGTTCTCCGCGATAACACCGAAGTTTAGTAAAACTTGCCACTTAATATATTTTTCACTAGAAGTTAATCTGATAATCTATGCAACTGCTTGGAAGATTTTGTCAACTAATTAAATGTGTGAATCTTCAAACTGAACACAAAATCTTCACTAATACGCGGAATGAAAACCATTCGTACATAAAATTCAGCAGCTTTGCGCGCCTCCAAAATTCCAAAGAATTAATAAACAATTTTTTAATTTACACCTGAAGTAATTTTGGGTGCGAAATTATTGAAAAATGTAACTTGAGAACTCTTATCTGGGTCGTATTTTGGGTTCGATTAATCACAAAACCAACTATTTACGGATGAGGAAACAAACAGGCTGGAAAAAAACAGGTACCCAGAGTCATATAGAATACAACACGAAACAAGCGATCGATTAAATTGAATGAAATCTTAACTTCTTACAGTGCTCATAATCCATAATCTGGTCAAAATTGTGATTTTTATCAATCAATACAAACACTAAATTAATGCTGTCTCACAGCTCTGCTTCTATACCATCACTTGAATCTTGATTGTCACGAACTGTCGTTCTTGTAATTCCAATTGTAAATGTGACTTTTCAGTGATGGACAACTTCACTTTCACAGGTACTTGGAACTCTCCGTATGCGCGAACATGCCGATGCCTTATTAACTCGACTACCCACTTTTATAACGACTTCAAACTTTCTCCCACAGCTACATCATTTAACTTTCTTTTATAAAACTTTATAACTGCCAAGACGGACTGTTGCAAAATACGCTCAAACACTGCTACGATTTAATGTCCAGAAATTCGATTCAGGTCTTCCACCAAAAAGAGCCATCGGCAAAAAAAAACGCTTGGCCAACAAAAGACGTCGTTTACCGTCCGGTTCGCTTACTTAAAACCTTTTTCCTTTCCTCACATCCGTTCCCCTTTCCTTTACAAAATAATGTGCGTCTTCGGCCAAAATCGAACTACACCTGTGTTTTCTTAACGGCGAAGATAAACTTTTACAATATCTATGCAAATGTTCTAGATACTCCTTATCTTACTAACACAAAATAAATATACGAGCGACTTCCGGAATAGGACAGTGTCGATATGTTGAACGAAAAGTGAGGTTATTTTTATTTCTTGTCCCGATGAATCGCCCTACGAAGGTGGGCGAAACATTCACTTTTCGTCATTATCACGGTCTTGCCCGGAAGCCGTTCGCATGATAATGAAAGTCTCTGCTGTAACACAAAACAACTTTTACAAAAATAAAATAAACAAATTAAACAAAGCAATTATTAAAACAAAATTAACAACTTGAAATTAAACAATCACGGTGACTCATCATTACTGCAGGTGCCGAAGCCAAATAAAACGTTGCCTGTCGTAGTTTCCAGGTAGGTAGGTACGGCCGGTTTCAACCGATTTTGACCTTGAGATCTGCGCATGCGCCAAGTCCAAGTGTGATTGTCTAAACCCAATATCACTGAAGGGCATCGAGGTTGTTGTCTAAACTAAAAACTGTGGTCTTTTCTAAACTAAAGCAATGTTAAACGCTAGCTCTGTGCGCTGCATTACTCCATTGCATCGTAATGTGTGCTCGATTCCAATGTCACTGAAACTTGAAGGTGAAATAGAGGGCAGAATTGAAGGTGGAATAGAGGGCACACAGAAAACGAAATAATAGCGATTCAAAAGCCAACTAAAAGTAAAGTGGGTGGTTGTTACCTGAACTAAAGCAATGTCGCTGAAGGTCAAAACGAGATGGTCCTCAACTAAAATGTAATTCGTTCAAATATTCCATTATGGTGGCGGGGAATGGGCCTTATACAAGCCTCTTCCAATGGATATACAAAAATGTTTAGTTAAGTAGGTACTTTGGTTAACAGTGGTTTACAGTAAATTTCAAATATTTAACGCATGATTTATTAACTATTTAAGTAAATGTAGTAGTTCATGACAAAATCACTAAATTTAGGAAAACTGAGTTAGCTAAACGGTTCACAATTGAATTGTTTTTCAATGACATGTAATATGGATTGTTTCAATTTCTCACGAATAGTATAGGTTTACTAAAATCTAAAAAACACCCTTTCTTTGAGATAACTCCACAAAAACTACAGCCATTTAAAAGTGGGATCTTTTTTCTGAATAACCTTCTATTTTTATGGCAAACAAAAAATTCGGCAAAATCTCTTCAAGCACTTTCCCTTTCTAGTTTATTAAAAGTGTTCTGCGTCATTCTAGTTATTTAAAGTGTGTGGGTATCTACAACAAATTTCTCACGGCATTAATCGAATTTTCGGAATAATTTTCTAAAGATTGAATATGCTAGAAGTTGATTGAGTTTCGTTTTCAAACAATGCACCTCACTTAGAGTAATTCGAATTCCGAAAATATCTAAGATTGAGAGCGAACCCGTTGTTTAATTGCAGTAAATCAATAGGCCGCAGATTTCCACCGGGAGTGAGTTTGAAATGTACAGACAATACCAGCACCTGTCAGTTTATTCGTCGATTCGGATAGTGATCTTTCATCCATTTTTTTTTGTTTCAGCACGCTGTGTAATATCACAGGGTTTGATATTCGTGTCCGAAAAATTGAACCGGTTTCATCTCAAATTGACGTATACAGCACGGCGTAAGTAAAAGATTTGCTTTAATTAGTCGGCTACATTCGAGTTTTCGTTTTTAGCACTGATGTGTATCTTTACGCAGTCGACCCCTTGCTCAACGTAGTTGTAGATGCAGACAGGCTTCAAAGGTAGTAACGTTGAAACACACTTAAATGTTTAGAGCACCCTTCATTCTCATTTATAGAATGCTGGATTTCAAAAGAGAAATGATAGACAAAGAGTTGGAAGCTTTCCAAGTACTGGGTTTAACAACAAATATTTCTGAAAGAAAATCCAAAGGTCGCATGTTACAACTGTCTACTTTGGAAATTGGAGTGGTCGTACTTGGATGTTTGATATTTATCTGTTGTCTAATTGTGCTAACTTGTGCGATAGTCAATCGTCAAAGAAAGAAAAGGTAATAATTTACGAGCGTACCTATCGATAGTTTACAAACTGAATTGGTATTTTTGAAACAGGTTAAAGGAATCTAAATTTATCTCACGACCCCCTCCAACGTACGGCATTTCGACCAGCGAATTTGGAAAAACTTTACATTTTCCATCAAATTTCGAAGAATCGATTCAGTACACTGAGGCAAAACGAGACGTTCCTAAAATTCCGAAACACTCAGCGGATTACCCACGAATCCTGAAACATACGTCACACGCAGACGAAAGGGCTAGAAGCATAGGAGGTCTGGAAACATCCATGACATCGCTACACTCAAGTGGAAAAGATTCCGGGATCATTGATGAGAGTCAGCACTGTCCGTGTGGACAATCCAGTAGCGTGGGTTCCGAAGGTAGTTGCAGGTATGTACCTATTAGCATATGAAACTCCTATTTGTGCATGGTCACGCAGCAATCTAAGCATTGAATAAGTTTTTTTAGTCACTAAATCGTTTATTAAACTTGCTTGCACATTGTTTTTGAATTGTTATAAAACCTTTGGTTTTTTAAAACTTGTTTGTTGATTTTCATGGTCCACAATATGTCAAACATCCAATCCCTTTGCGAATCTATTGTATGAAGATGTTGAGATATTGACATTATGGACCATGGAATAGATTTCAAGGGACTGGTGTTTCCTTCGGGTTTAAAGTAGTAGATTCGTCATTTTTTAATGAAACTTAGATGAAATGAAAGTTGAAAGCCTATGCGATAGTAAAGTTAAATGATACTGTCATAGGGTTGGTTTTCAAGATATATCCACTTGAAAATCGTCTAATTTAACATGGGTACATAGAAGAAACCTTCCAGCGTTCCAAACGATAAAATATTATATTCCCATCATTTCGGATTGCGACTGCCCTCTAGAGATTTCTTGTTTCATTAGGAATGCACTGATATAAGGCAAAGTATTTACTTTCGAGATATCTTGAGTTATCTACGTCAAAACGGCTCAGATCGGCTGCTGTAACGCCAATCTTCGTAAAAAGCTTCCACAATTTAAACCCCAATGTTTGTAGAGACCGACTATCAAAAAGGAAGCAAAAGAACATGATACGAGTAAGCCTGATTAACACTTATAATGTGCACACTCGATTTTTGAAACCCTGTATTGCAGAAAACAATGACTTGGAGTAGAGCTTTCATGGTCAGTTACATCGTTGCTGTGAATTATTTTCTTGTAGGGCTTTTTTTTTATTTTCCATCCTATTTGATCAATTATTTTTTGTTGCTAGTTGTGACTCCTGGATGGCCATTCATTTGCACACACCTCCAAGCCTTTCCTGCGGTGCCTTTCAAATTCCTTTCTCAGTTCCTGTACTGTCACTCCTATTCCAGTCGTATTCCCAATCATTGCTTTTGAAACCCCACCAACATCGTGAAGGTCCATAAAGTCTTTCGAGTTCAGTCGATTTCCATTTTTCGATTTCTGTTAAAAACTTGCCTCTTTATAAAATTAGATGTAGTGATGATGGAGGCAATGAGAGCAGACTCGTCAATTTTGAAGTGATTCAACAAGTCATCTAATAACACGCAGTCGGATACAGTATTGTGGGGATTGTTGATGGGGTACTGCCATTCCTTCTCAGTGAGAGATTGGGCAGCAAGTTGGTCTTGTTTGCGAACATTGCCTTGTCTAATGAGCGGCAACGTGTCCATCATGCCATGAACCAGGTCGCAGAATTCTTCAAGTTTGTGCTCTTTCATGAAGCGAACAATCCTGGGTGCATAAACCGAATGAAGTTGTGTCCAACGAACACAACTTGGCTGCCACAGTGCCTCAAGAACTATAGAAATTGCTGCGCAGTTAGAAGTGGTGATCTTTCGTCTAGTTCTAGCAGAACCATAAGGATTCATCTTCATTCTTCTTCACCACTTTTTGCTGCAATCTGAACGATGAAATATGAAATTTGCTACACGGTCTTTACATTTTTCGAATTTTCTCAAAAAATTCAGTTACAAAATAAAAACATCAAAAAATCAAAGTAGACCTTGAAGTTTTGCACGTTTACTCAGTTTTTGATTCTGAATAACTTTTTTATAACATTTGTACGTGTCTCGTCTCCAAAGCGTACTTCACTGGTATGCAAAACACGTTTTTTTGAAAATTTCAAAGACACCCTTGAATTCGAAACTAAAATTGTGTCACAAACTAGTTTCCAAAGCAGGGCTGGTCCTCAGAAGTCTAAATTCAATTTGAAATTTTTTGTCTTTTACAAAAGACCACCAAACAATCGGGGGACACACTGTATACGGGGTGTCAATTTTAAAACTTGGAGTCGGCCATATTTTCCAAACTTTTCGGGTGTATCGAGGGGGAACCAGAATGACGTTATGAGTGACAACCTCCCACCCCTCCTTAACCCCAGCCTCCCCCTTCAAAAATCCTAAATGGCAACCCCATACTTGTGACACATCGTTCGAAAGCTACTAAAAAATGCTTTCCAGTGGTACCAATAAAGTCAATATCCATTAAGACAATTTAACAAAAATTTAATAATTAACAACAAAAAAACTAAATGTTGGCATTGAGGGATTTATGGCAAATTGGCCAAGAACCTCAACCTGAGCTGCTTCATTAAGCAATCGTGGTTGCTTTCTTTTTTTATTGATAACAGATCCCGTTTCTTCGAATTTAGCGACCAAATTTTGAACATAGGCACGGCTTACATTTCTACCGGGAAGTCTCTCATTAAACGTTCTAGCTGTTCTAAAAGATGATCGATTTTCGGAGCCATAAATGAATATTATTTCCACACGTTCAGCTGTACTGTAAGTTAATAAAAAAAGAAAGCAACCAAGATTGCTTAATGAACCAGCTCAAGTTGAAGTTCTTGGCCAATTTGCCATAAATCCCTCAATGTCAACATTTAGTTTTTTTGTTGTTAATTTTTGCAGAGGGGGGCTGAGGGTTAAGGGGGGGTAGGGGGTTGTCACTCATAACGTCATTATGGTTCGCGCTCAATACCCCCGGCGCGATTTTCAATATCTTCTTTACTTTGGAAAACCGATGGCCGACTGCAAGTTTTAAAATTGACACCCTGTATAACGAGTTGTATACCATTTATCGTAAGTATATTATATATGTTGTAATATGGACGTTTGGAGACACAAAATTAAGTGACAAATGTTAATATTAATCGTAGAGTTCATATTGTTACTTATACCTTAGTATACACTATGCTTATACTTACTCCTGAAATAAAGTCTAAAGTGTTAGAAGCGTTATACTTTGAAACTGTAACATTTTGATTTTCATTAGAACTAAAACTGACAGCACAGGAACACTTTTTCATACACTCGTTTATATTAAGCATGCACTTTAGCATCGAATACACACTCCATAAGCTTGAACTTTTTAAGGTCTTCGATTTTTCCTCGGATTTTTCCATAAGGTAAGCTAATAGTACATTTTCAGACAAGGCTTTGGCGTTTTTCTTGTTGCACCAGTCTTTAAAGTCCTTGTAGCATTTTTCGTACTGCCGCTTCGATTTTTCAGGTACTAACTGCGACACAGCAGAATTCGCAACAAGTTTTATTTCCGGAGAAGTTCCGGATATCGAAGAATCACTTTCGGAGTCACACATTTTGACTTTTCTTTCACGAAAAATTATTCATTGTTTATGTCATTATCATGGTAAAATGAAAACTGGCCGTCTTTCTATTTGCGAAGAAAATAATTATTTTTGAAATCTCATTTTTATTTATTGACGATTCTACACAATTGCACAAAAAATGTTGTGTATACCACGGCCGCGTCATTCTTTAACGCCCTCAAAGTTGCCTTGCCTCGGCCGCAAGTGGCCTCGGCGCCAATCTTTTTTTCGGTACGTTAAAGAATGACTTCGCGGCCTAAGTATACAAATAACTATTAAATTGCTCCATAAGTAAAAAAGTTGAGTTTTGCGCATGCGCAACGCGATTTGTTGCGCATGCGCTTCGTTAATGAAGATATTTCTTTGAAATTTTAACCATAAATGAATCTAGTAGAGTAACACATATCACATGTAGTAAAAATCGAAAACTACAAATGTCATTAGGAAAAGCAAACATATCGCACATAGTATAAATCAAATCCACGCATGCGCAGACTGCAAAATGTCAACTTTTTTACTTATGAAAATGTCTCTCTAAAGTTTAACCATAAACGCTTCTAGTAAAAACAAACATCGCATACCTATAGCATAGTGCTCATGCGCAAACTGCGCAACGCCACCTTTTTGGTTTATGGAGATATTTCTTTCAAATTGTAAACATATATGCCTCTAGTACAGAAAATAACAGCGCACATAGCTATGAACGTTTGTAAGGGAGGTATTGCATTGGAGTACAAAATGACCTCCTTGACGGAAATACCCGTTTTGAAGCACCAGGAATCCGAATTAGACAGAACCTCGTTTATGTTGATCGGTCTGTTCGTCTATCGGCTTTGTACTCTCATTTCCTGCTAAACGGCTGAACCGAAATTTTTTATAATAGTAAACGAGTATCATTTCAATTTATTGATTTTGAGGTAACCTGATGCTTCAATTCATAACACTCTCCGTAGCGACGAGGTCTGCTGTACCACAGATTAAATACTCTGGCTGAACCATCAGTGTTAGTTAAATTGTGATTTATAAAATCAAGTAGATTAACAAACTGCTTTATATTTCAAGTAGCTTGACCTGGTTTCAAGTCAAATCAAGTAGTTTGAAAGTCAAGCGGTGGATTCCTATGTAGGTATGTAGGCATAGGGCGTTTACCGTCGAATTAGAAATTTAGAAATTGTTCCTGTAGATTCAAATCAGAAATACCTGGTTTTCGTAGGCCGTCTCTGTACACATTTAGTTTATTCTCTGTTAATGTAGATTGCTGTATTCCAATTAAAAAAAAGCGCTGACTGTAGCTTCAACTCGCGGAAACAGCATTCCACTTCAGCAAAATCGTTACGAATTATTTCCGCTTGGTTTAGAGCTTTCCCCAATTAAATTTACAAGATGAACGTCTGTTAGTGGTTACTGATAGCTTTAGAAATCAGTCTCCGTAATTATACAAGAATTATATTTCCTATACGCGAATATTTTTAATTACTAAAAATGCCCCGTAAAGTGATGTTAATTATTGTGATGGAAACTCCATATTTGAAGGATATTTTCATTTTACAGTATGACGCCCCAGTGGCACTTCTGATAGCACGGTGTCATTTGAAGTGTTAATAATATACCCTTACCGTACATTTTTAGTTCTTTTTTAATGTGCTCTTTTTACGCCTTCCATTACGTCTAAATACAGAGCTTGCAGGTGGGGTGGAATTATGGCGGCGAAGTTTTTTTTTAATGCGAACGCACTAAATTTGTGGGATATTATAAATGACATTATCG